GTAAGGGGGTTCTCCCGAAGAGAAAACCCCCCCCAGGGACAGGGGAGGAAGGAACCATTGACGCAGATAAAACAAGGCTTGTCACACCACTCAGTATGGGTGTACTGTGTAAACCTGGTGTGGCAAGATGGCGCTCCACCGGAAGTGCGTCACCACGTTACATCTAAGCGTTGCGTCACGTACATGTGACTTTCTCAGGATGGCGTCATGGTGACGAGCTCATTCTTATAGGAGAGCCAAATGCCAATCAGTCTACTTAGGGAGGATCTACCGCGGCCATTTTACTGTAGCTTCATATGAAGTATAAAGGCCAGAATCACGGCCATCTTTATGGAGACCCAGTGTCGTTACAAACAAACTCTCCATTCATATATGGCTTTAAAGAATACCGACATTCTAACCACTGACCATATAAGCATCCGTATCTGCATATGCTAATTGCGTAGGAGGCACTAAAAATGAAACATAATGTATATAAGGCAAGAGAGGGGAAAAAAACAATAATTAAAAAAACTCTCCCCTCACTTCCACCTATAACCAATGCAGGTAAATAGCAATGAATACTATGAGAGTGAGGACAAGAAAAAATATACAAAAATAAATATATAATTTTATTAATAGACAGGAAATAATAAAAATAAGTAAATTAGATAAAATAAGTTGCTCAACATCCCAAAAAGGACAACTGGTTAGACTTAGGAGACAGGGTGCTGTGATGTTTTCAGGTAGCTTTGCACAACACCTTGCCAACCCCTCCCATCAGCCATGATCTGTTCGCAATTCGTAGAGAAGCACATGGAACCAATGATGATATTGCTGGGTATAAAACAAGGTTTGTTATGAAAGTGGAAAGATGTTATTAAAAAAATAAAGATTAGCAGGTTTAGGGGGACAAAGGAGCAAACAGGAAAGACCTATTAGTGGATTAAACTTCAGTCATGAAAGTGGACAATTTGTTGAATGTGCTCTCAGTGGACAGCTTCCATGGACTAACTTACTGGACACATGTCATAGAACAAAAATACCATGGATCCCACTGGCTTCTGGTCACATGACATGGTACGGACGTGCCATAGAACCTACTTTTTACCCAGAAAAATGCCTGTGCATACCTTCTGTTGTCAGAAGGCCAAGCTCTGAACATTTGGAAGCCTATTTGTGGCATTTCACAATAGAGTACAGCTATCTCGGCATCCTATTGGAAAGCGCCCAACTTTTCAGTGTGGGATTATTAAGGAAGGGTTAGAGCCTCTGTTTTTTTATTATATGTGTATATTTGGGAGAACTCCTGCTAGTAGAGGAAGTAATGAGGCCTTCCCAAGAAAGACAGTGTCTGAACCTCTGACCTCTTCTGGTCTGTTCCTGCTAAGGCACTTGGGATGCTGGACAGCTCCCTGGACAATTCCTTGACCAATCCTGCCTTGAGCCTTGTTTCTATTGAATCTTGAACCATTTGCTCCTCACATGAACTTATTGTTTTAGCCATGCCTTTGCACTTCCTGTTTGCCAGATTATTGTGCTTTATCCAGCCAATATCTTGCTCTTGTCACTCCCTGCCTTCCTTCCTCTACCACTCGTTACCGACCTTTGGCTTGTTCCTCGACTACACTTCTGCTTAATCCTAACCTACAACCACTTGTTACCAACCTTTGGCTTGTTTACTGACTATACTTCTGCTTGATTCTACCTGCTATATGCTTCTGGTCCCTGGCATGCTCACCTCCTGGTGGGGAGCTCCTGAGGACCGAGACTTGGTACTAACATGCACCAAAGCCCATCTCCACCATGAGGAGCTCTGGTGAACAAAGGTTAGTGCTTAGACTCTGCACCTCGGGTGAGCCTGTGTCATCCATCAGGGTGACCAGCCTGTGTATTAACCCAGCTGGATGGTGGAAGCCTTTCTATTGGTATAGCTACTCCAAGCCTGACCCCTGTACGTGGTACACAGATACAAATAAGAACACATTTTAGTAGAATGAGGAAGATTTAGGACAGCCGTTCTCAACCATGGTTAAATGGAACCTTTATGGATCCTATAGTGGTTGCTAGGGGGTTCTGATTGACCTCCCATGTGGCTGCATAGTTTTGGGGCCCACCACCTTCTTGCAAAGCCAGCAGCATGAACCCAATTATCTTTTTAGCGGTCTCTTGGGTGTAACACTCTGAACACCGCTGTAAATGGCCATTTACCAAAGCACGGGGCTTTATTCCCATTAACCTCAGATTATTAATTTTAGCAGGGGGTTCCCCGGGATATTTTTTTATGGGTTCCTCTGGGGTAAAAAGATTGTGAGAGGCTGGTTTAGAACAAATTGTTATTGCTGTCTTCACCTTCCTGTCTCAGTGACGACTGCTCTCCCCATTTCTAGTACAGCTATGACATGGACAGAATGTGAAGCCCCAATGGGATCACAGACAGAAATAAAAACCTTATAATTATCCATGGTTATTAACCGTTGCAGAACATAAAGTGATGCCTTTTTTTTCCCAAGGCAGAGAGGCAGTGGTGCCATCTACTGGCTGAACTTGGAAATGCTACCTGCATATTTTCACAGTTAAGGGCTCATGTACACTGCAGCTGAGAAACTCACATTTAGGACCTGTTCAGCGTTTTGTTGCAGCAGCCCCTGAACTCACCCTAATGTTTTCCTATGTGTCCATGTACACATAGTCGTTTACAGGCATTTGAGTTTACGGTTGTTTTTTGAACGCAGAAAACTTGCATTCAGCAGTCGATTTTCTCAACGTTTCACACACAAAACACTTGTAAATGCGGCTAAACGCGGCAAATCGCATTTATAAGCGTTTCTGTTTGAAATTATTTTTTTTACTCTTCCAGTCCCCAATGCTGTCCAAAGCCTTTTTTCATCATGAAAAATGCATGCAAAGCGTTTTCAAGGTACTCAAATGGACAAACCACTGAACACAGATTGTTCCTACCAAGCTTGTCACACATTGTAATGACCAATTCACACCTCAGACCTCTCCCACCCTTGGAAACAAAAGATATATTAATGACCTTTCACACCTCAAATTCCTCATGAAGACCCCCTGCCAGGTGGCCTTAATGACTCCCTCCTCCAGACACCTTTCCCACCCTTGGAAACAAAAGAAATGTTAATGAGCAACTCCCAGCTAAGCTAATCTCAACACATACTGCTGTCTCTGCTTCTACTCTCTGTATTTCTCTGAAACAGTCTGAAATAGTTAATAATTTACCACTTTTCAGTGCATTCTGTGCATTTGGGAGGTTCTCCTGTGCATATCTTTAAAAATCAAAAAAAATGCTTCAAAACGCAAACGCGCATAAACCTGTTATGAAAACGTGGCTAAACAGATGTTTTTAACCTACGTTTTCCAGCAGTCAGTTTCCATCGTTCAGAAGTGTCCCGTGTACATGGGGCCTAAAGGGTTTTATGCGTAATGATAGGACCTGCAATGGCAGTTTAGATTCTGAAGATGCAATTACACACATGTTTGTATGTTCTTTTTAAAAGGATCTCTTTCAACTGACTTGAATGGCAAAATGCAGCATGGAGGACTTGCATTGCAATGCACTACAAGGAAGCACATTGGTGTGAATGGGTCCTGTTAAAAGCAACATTTGTTTTGGTTGTCTGTGTATTGAAAATACAGGGTGAAATACCTGGCATGTGCAAGGTGAACGTGCCCTAATTCTTATAGAGAATCTATTTGTATTCCTTAGGCACTTGGCCAATAGACTTGCAACAATAGAAAAGGGTAGCACTACTATATAGGAAACAGGACCTGCATACGTAATGAGGAACTATGCAGGAAGTGGGAACTGTATATGTAAAAATCAGTGCCTGCATACTGTATGTAATAAGGAAATATGCAGGTAGCGAAGCCTGTATATGTATTGAGGAAATAAGTATGAAGCAATTTAATGAGGAAATATTTAGGAAGAAGTGTCTGCACATGTAATCAGGAATAGATGTAGGTAGCAGAGTCTGCAAAGGTAATGAGGAAATAAGTATGAAGCAATGTAATTAAATATTTAGGAAGAAGAGCCTGCACATGTAATCGGGGATAGATGTAGGCAGCAGAGTCTGCAAAGGTAATGAGGAAATAAGTATGAAGCAATGTAATGAGGAAATATTCAGGAAGAAGAGCCTGCACATGTAATGTAATCAGAGTCTGGGATAGGTGTGAAGCAATGTAGCAGAGTCTGCAAAGGTAATGATGAGGAAATAAGTATGAAGCAATGTAATGAGGAAATATTCAGGATGAAGAGCCTGCAAATGTAATCGGGTATAGGTATAGGTAGCAGAGTCTGCAAAGGTAATGAGGAAATAAGTATGAAGCAATGTAATGAGGAAATATTCAGGAAGAAGAGCCTGCACATGTAATTGGGGATAGGTGTAGGTAGCAGAGTCTGCAAAGGTAATGAGGAAATAAGTATGAAGCAATGTAATGAGGAAATATTCAGGAAGAAGAGCCTGCACATGTAATTGGGGATAGGTGTAGGTAGCAGAATCTGCAAAGGTAATGAGGAAATAAGTATGAAGCAATGTAATGAGGAAATATTCAGGAAGAAGAGTCTGCACATGTAATCGGGGATAGGTGTAGGTAGCAGAGTCAGCAAAGGTAATGAGGAAATACATTGGAAGCAGAGCCTGAAAGTAATGAGCAAAGTTGTAGAATGTGCAGCTTGTGTATGTAATGACAAAATATGCAGTAAACATATGTAAAATGAGTTGTGTGCAAAATAAAATAAGACAAAGTTCATCCCAATGAAGTATTGAGCATGCAGGTGATCAAATGCATCATAATGTAGCTAGCTCTTAAATTGACTTAAAAAGTATTTGAAACCAAAATGGCAGCTGGAGCCATTGGTGAACACAGTTGTGTTTTTTTATAGATCTAATCTAGCAGCCTTATTGGCATTCCCCTTCAGCCGGCTCTAGTGTTTTGTTGTCTATAAGGTACAGACTGATGTGTCCTTTCTGTGCTGACTCTCTCCTGTGCTCTGTCTGCAGGATCTGCTCAAACACACCCCCGAGGACCACCCGGACCACATCTGCCTGTTGGATGCCCAGCGGAACATCAAGCGACTGGCGGAAAGGATAAACAAGGGGATGAGGAGTGCAGAGGAAGCAGAGAGAGATACCCGAATACTGCAGGAGATTGAATCTCACATTGAGGGCATGGAGGATGTATGTAGTCTGTATTACTGTAAACCTCTATGCCAGGCAATAGCAGGACCTGTGGCTTCTGACCACAAATGTAGACCTCTTACCAGGGGCTGACTGACCAATTGGAAACTCGGGCACTGCCCGAGGGTCCGGTGGTCAGTAGGGGGCCCCATGAGATGCCCCCGGTACCTTTTTCATAGCCATTTTTGAGTTTGGGCAAGGACACAGGGGCCCCATGATCCCCTATTGCCTGGGGGCCCCATGAGTTGTCAGTCCGCCCCTGTCTCTTACATGTCATTAAGATGGATTACTGCAATGATAATGGGTTGTCTGCACAGCACACTGATTGGCTCTGCAGCAGAACATTTTCTGTGTGTTTTTAAGATGTGTAGGTGTTTGATGCCCCTAAAGCTGGCCATTCATGTATGGATTGTTTTAATTCAGTCTGTGGGCTGAACAAAAAAAACAAAAACATTGCTTTATCAATGCTATACAGCGCAGACGGACAATTTTCCCACTGCGTCTATTGTATTTGGACAGTCGGCAGGGCCAGTTGTCAAAATACCCAAATAGCGACTGCATCTGGTTGAATGCAGCCACTGTGTGGCTGAAAAATTTCCAGCAGGCTCTTTCAACAAGCGTCAATCAAGCAATCAATTTTTTTTTAACTGGGCTGGATCGGCATGACCACCCACTGAGCCAATTGCGTCTGGTTCCTCAGGAACTGGACAAAATTTGCACAGGTGTGGCCAGCTTAAATGTAAAAAATGAACTTCCTTCTAAGTGTTTGATCCTCTAGTCACTACAAAGGGCCTCTACAGAGATCACTGTAAGTAGTTTCCCCCTCTAGCTACTGTAATATAGGGAACAGAGCTCCAAGTAAGTGATCCATGAGAAATAGAAAATGGAGCTCTGTCCTTGCAACTAGTGAACCACAGAAAGTAGAGATCTCAGTAATTTTTCAGACTCATGAAAAAAGAGAACATATAGCTCTAACTGTTCTATACTCTTGAAGAATAGAACATAGAGCTCTCAATAACTGCTCTGTACCCATAAAGAATAGAATATAGAACTCTTAGTTATTGCTCTACCCATGCAGCTACTGCACTGCTACAAAAAGAGGTGTGAGAAAGTGGTCTGCCCCTTTGGCTGCTGCAGTGCAAAACATAGAGCTCTCAGCGAGTGTTCTGTCCCTGTACCGGCTGTACTGAAAAACATAGAGCTGTCAGCAAGTGCTCTGTCCCTGCAGCGTCTGTACTGCAAAACATAGAGCTGTCAGCAAGTGCTCTGTCCCTGCAGCGGCTGTACTGTAAAACATAGAGCTCTCAGCAAGTGTTCTGTCCCTGTACCGGCTGTACTGCAAAACATAGAGCTCTAAGCAAGTGCTTTATCCCTGCAGCGGCTGTTGTACTGTAAAACACAGAACTCTCAGTAAGTGTTTTGTCCCTGCCACTGCTGTACTGTAAACAAAAGCTCTCAGCAAGTGCTCTGTTCATGCAGCTGCTATATTGCAAAACACAGAGCTCTCAGTAAGTGTTCTGTCCCTGCAGCTGCTATATTGCAAAACACAGAGCTCTCTGCAAGTGCTCTGTTCATGCAGCTGCTATATTGCAAAACACAGAGCTCTCAGCAAGTGTTCTGTCCCTGCACTGCTGTGCTGCAAAACACAGAGCTCTCAGCAAGTGCTCTGTCCCTGCAGCTGCTATATTGCAAAACACAGAGCTCCCTGCAAGTGCTCTGTTCATGCAGCTGCTATATTGCAAAACACAGAGCTCTCCGCAAGTGCTCTGTTCATGCATCTGCTATATTGCAAAACACAGAGCTCTCTGCAAGTGCTCTGTTCATGCAGCTGCTATATTGCAAAACACAGAGCTCTCAGCAAGTGTTCTGTCCCTGCAGCTGCTGTGCTGCAAAACACAGAGCTCTCAGCAAGTGCTCTGTCCCTGCAGCTGCTATATTGCAAAACAAAGAGCTCCCTGCAAGTGCTCTGTTCATGCAGCCGCTATATTGCAAAACACAGAGCTCTCAGCAAGTGTTCTGTCCCTGCAGCCGCTATATTGCAAAACACAGAGCTCTCAGCAAGTGTTCTGTCCCTGCAGCTGCTATATTGCAAAACAAAAAGCTCTCAGCAAGTGCTCTGTCCCAGCAGCTGCTATACTGCAGAACATAGAGCTCTCAGCGAGTGTTCTGTCCCTGCCACTGCTGTACTGCAGAACACAAAGCTCACAGCAAGTGCTCTGTTCATGCAGCTGCTATATTGTAAAACACAGAATTCTCAGCAAGTGCTCTGTTCCCATGCAGCTGCTATATTGCAAAACACAGAGCTCTCAGCAAGTGTTCTGTCCCTGCAGCTGCTGTTCTGCAGAACATAGAGCTCTCGGCAAGTGCTCTGTCTCGGCAGCTGCTGTTCTGCAAAACACAGAGCTCTCAGTAAGTGGCCTGACCCTGTGGCTGCTGCCCTGCTGAAAATAGAGCTCTTGGAAAGTGTTTTGCCTCTGTGGGCCTGGCAGTACATTGAGTACATTGAGCTGTCAGTAAATGCCCTGCAGATGCTGCACTGCAGAACATAGAACTCTTAGTGCTCTGTCCTTGAAGCTGCTGCACGGCCTAAAATCGAGTTCTCGGTAGGTGCTTTGCCACTTCCTGCAGAATCTAGAGCTCATAGGAAGTGTCTTGCCCCATGGGCACTACAGAACACGGTACTCTTAGTAAGTGGGTTGTCCCTGTAGCTGCTGCGCTGTAGTACAGAAGTAAGTGCTTTTCAACTGCTGCATTGTAGAGCTTCAAAGCCTTCGGCAGCCAATAGATGATACAGTGTTTTTTGTTAAACCAGCGGGTTGAACGAAAACAACTGACTATTATCCCATCTACAAGCTCGATTTTGGATGGTGGAATCTCCGCTATATTGTTTGCTGACAGTGGGGATACTTCCCCTACATCAGTGTTTCTCAATTCCAGTCCTCATGGACCCCCAACAGGTCATGTTTTCAGGATTTCCATTATTTTGCACAGGTGATTTGATCAATTTCACTGCCTTAGTAATTACCACAGCTGTTTCATCTGAGGGAAATCCTGAAAACATGACCTGTTGGGGGTCCATGAGGACTGGAGTTGAGAAACACTGCCCTACATCAACATACAGGGACTATTGCTACCGGTTATAGCCCACAATGCTGATTAAGCGGGAAAAATCATACAGGGTGGTTGTACAGAGGGTGATCATTAGATCAACTTCTGTACAATCTCCCTGCCCGTAACACGGACTGAAATTAGGCTGGTCCCTGCTGAACTGGCTGAATTTTGATAAATGTATGACTGGCTGTATTCACACTGTCTCCTTGTATTTAGTTTACAAGTAGGAGACATTGATCTGGGAAAAATATAGTGTTTGTTTTGTGCTTAAATGCAAAATGTACATGTGTTTACATGTATTTAGATGCATTCAGAGTATCTGATCTGCCCCCAGGAAGCACAGATTTCTATGTAACTAAACGCAATTAAACGGAACGCAAGTAAACACATAATGGGAATGATACCATTCAAAATCATTACATGCATATGGGTTTACAGATGTCCACTAAATGCATAAAATCTCATAATATCACATTTATGTTGTGTGAATGAGCGGCAGTAATTTTTCATTGCAGATGCTACACTGCAGTCCTTAGAGCGCTCAGTAAGCCCCCTGCAGAATATAGAGCTCTCATTTAGTGCCCTGCCGTTGCTGCATTGTAGTTCATAGAGCTCTCCTTTAGTGCCCTGCCATTGCTGCATTGTAGTTCAAAGAGCTCTCATTTCGTTCCCTGTAGATGCTTCACTACAGTCCATACAGCTCCCATTTGGTGTCCAGCAGATGCTGCACTGCATTCCATAGAGCTCCTATTGGGTGTCCAGCAGATGCTGCACTGCATTCCATAGAGCTCCTATTGGGTGTCCAGCAGAGCTGCACTGCATTCCATAGAGCTCCTATTGGGTGTCCAGCAGATGCTGCACTGCAGTCCATAGAGCTCCCATTTGGTGTCTAGCAGATAGCTGCACTGCAGTCCATACAGCTCCCATTTGGTGTCCAGCAGATGCTGCACTGCAGTCTATAGAACTCCCATTTGGTGTCCAGCAGATGCTGCACTGCAGTCTATAGAACTCCCATTTGGTGTCCAGCAGATGCTGCACTGCAGTCATTAGATCTCTCATGTAGTGCCCTGCAGATGCTGCACTGCAGTCCATTAGAGCTCCCATTTGGTGTCAAGCAGATGCTGCACTGCAGTCTATTAGAACTCCATTTAGTGCCCCAACAGATGCTGCACTGCAGTCCTTAGAGCTCCCATTTGGTGTCCAGCAGATGCTGCACTGCAGTCCTATAGACTCCCATTTGGTGTCCACAGATGCTGCACTGCAGTCCTTAGAGCTCCCATTTGGTGTCCAGCAGATGCTGCACTGCAGTCCTTAGAGCTCCCATTTGGTGTCCAGCAGATGCTGCACTGCAGTCCTTAGATCTCTCATGTAGTGCCCTGCAGATGCTGCACTGCAGTCCATAGAGCTCCTCTTACAAATTTGCACACAGACCCTAGAAAGGAGATGGCAATGATACATGCGTGTTCTTCTCTCTACAGCTGCAGGTTCCTTTCCGGAGGTTTGTGAGACAAGAGATGGTGGTGGAAGTGGTAAGTCGCACGGCTGTCATTTCTCATTGGAATCCTGTCACTGAGCCGGGGAAGAGAAAAGTTTTAATAATAAATGGCCCAAATGAAAAATTCAGAAACCAAATGTTCAGTTTAAGGTCAGCACAGAAAACAAAATTGCTTATGTTTAGTAGAAAGGAGATTTTGGTCTTTACCTGAGAAAGAGTTCTTCATTGTAAATGCAATGAAATGGTCTTTTGCAAATGTTTTCAATTCATTTGAAAAAAATAATTAAAGTTGAACTCCAGGAATTCATAAAAGACACAAATTAGTGCAGCTCTGTATTCATTAATACATCATTAAATGTGCTTTTTTAAAGAAAGCAGTGTACGTTCCTGGACTTGACCTGGTATCAGCCTCTTTTTGTCCTGGTACTGCAGAACTCAGTTGGGGGGAGGGAGAAGCAGCACAAGGAGCCAACCAGTCATGTCTAAGGAGACCTGCTGACAGGAGAAGAGAGCAGAGTGATGAGCTCATAGTCTGCTGCTGCTCCAAGCACTGTCCAGTCTCAGAATGGGGGGAGGGACAAGACCAAGTGTTGCTTACCTACAGTAGAGAGAAATCAGGTGTGCTACCCTGCCAGACAGTGCTGTGCTATGTGCTAGGGCTTTGGCAGGTAAAACCGCTCCCATATATGTATTTCAATTATATGTACTTCATCTGTGCCCAGAGCTTTTTTGGAAATAGAAGAAGTGTGGAATGATTGTCTGATTAAGACATGAATCAAGAACTGACTACCGTGAAACTCCAAAATCAAACTTTTTTTTTTTTTTTAATGGACAGTTTAACCTCGCACTCTGCCTTCCAGCCTCTGAGTGTGCATAATATTATCAAATACCAGAGTTCTGTGGTTCACATTCCTCCTGACTATGGGGCTTTATTATATAAAGCTATTGTTAATTCTCTGTGAGTCTCTGCGAGATCATTCAGTTGACAGAGCAGTAGTTGTCAGACTTAAGCAGCCCGTAGATGATTCGATTTTCTTTCCGTCCACCACACTTGATTCCCTCATCAATACAGTCAGTGTTGATGGGAGAATGCCTTCCGCAGCGCTTTTGTGTTCTGCCAGGGTGCAGGGAGCCTGCAGAACACGATACTGCTAGCAGCTATAGCCACCAGCAATAGACACAAAAAATCCAACAGGCTGGTTGTACCCAAGTCGATCGATGGATCGACTTTGGTACAATCTCGGCCTGTCTCTGCTGAATTGACCCAATTTTGATCCATGTATGCCCCCCCCAAAAAAAAATCCCTAACGCACGCTCCTAAAAATGCCTTCTGCAGCGCTTTTGTGTTCTGCCAGGGTGCAGGGAGCCTGCAGAACACAATGGATACTGCTAGCAGCTATAGCCGCCAGCAATAGACACACAAAAACTCCAACAAGCTGGTTGTACCCAAGTCGATTGATGGATCGACTTTGGTAGAATCTCGGCCTGTCTCTGCTGAATTGACTGAATTTTTATCCATGTATGCCCCCCCAAAAAAAATCCCTAACGCATGCTCCTAAAAATGCCTTCCGCAGCGCTTTTGTGTTCTGCCAGGGTGCAGGGAGCCTGCAGAACACTTTGGATACTGCTAGCAGCTATAGCCGCCAGCATTAGACACAAAAAATCCAACAAGCCGGTTGTACCCAAGTCGATCGATGGATCGACTTTGGTACAATCTCGGCCTGTCTCTGCTGAATTGACTGAATTTTGATCCATGTATGCCCCTCCCCCAAAAAAAAAATCCCTAACGCACGCTCCTGTCTTAGCATAACAGAAAACCTACTTACTATACCACGGAGTCCAGCATATCCTTGCTGAAGCAAAAACTCAGTTTGCTCCTTTTCTTCATCTTTAATTTAGATCTATGGGACCTAGCAGAGATGTCTGTGGTGTGTCTGCACATATGCACACCACTTGCTGTGGGTCTATGACTCTTTTCTGGCAGACTCCGGAGGCATGTCTGCGCATGTGTGGCATCTTGCAAATGGCTCCCGGGATAGTATGTCACGCATCCCAGGAGGCAGTTTGCAAGATGCTATGTATGCTCCCCAGGCACGCTGCAGGAGTCTGCCAGAAAACGCACAGCGTGTGTGCACGCGAGGTGGAACTTATGTCATTTTGGCCTAGGCCTGATCTAGCCTGTGTAAAAAAAAAAAAGAATAAAGAAAAGAAAAAGATCTGACTTTTTAAAGTGTGTTTTTTTTTTTCTGGCTAATTTATGAATAGGAAGGGGCAGGAGAGTGAAACATGGAAAATGGGTTCTGCTTTAAGGTGACCCCCCGACTCCCAAACTGGAGATTCTAATTTAGAGAATATAAATAAAGCCAAAAGGTGGGACACGTACAGATATTTTATTAGTAAACCTGTATATGTTGTAAGATTAACAAGGTGCCCCTTAATGGATTCCCAAAACAGAGGCAGTACACATACCTTTTTGTGTTCTGTCAGCACTTGGTCTTTTTACCCAGCAGCAGGTACTCACAACACACAAATAGAGCTTTCTTTTGGTGGTATTTGATCACCACTGGGTTTTATTTTTTTTCAATATGTAAACAAAAAAAGAATGAAAAGTTTAAAAAACATTTTTTGTACTTTCTGCTATAAAACATATCAAACAAAACAAAATGGGAAAAAAAACTACATTTCTTCTTGAATTATGGCCAAGACGTATTCTTCTACATGTCTTTGGTAAAAAAAATCCCAATAAGTGAAAGTTACAGCGTCTACATACTATGGGATAGACAGTGAGGAACAGAAGTATTTGAACACCCTGCGATTTTGCAAGTTCTCCCACTTAGAAATCATGGAGGGGTCTGAAATTCACATTGTAGGTGCATTCCCACTCTGAGAGACAGAATTAAAATACAAATTCAGGAAATCACATTGTATGATTTTTTAAAGAATTTATTTGTCTTGCACTGCTGAACATAAGTATTTGAACACCTGAGAAAATCCGTGTTAATATTTGGTACAGAAGCCTTTGTTTGCAATTACAGAGGTCAGACGTTTCCTGTAGTCCTTGACCAGGTTTGCACACACTGCAACAGGGATTTTGGCCCACTCCTCCACACAGATCTCTAGATCTGTCAGGTTTCGGGGCTGTCGCTGAGCAACACGAAGTTTCAGCTCCCTCCAAAGATGTTCTATTGGATTTAGGTCTGGAGACTGGCTAGGCCACTCCAGAACCTTGATATGCTTCTTACGGAGCCACTCCTTGGTTATCCTGGCTGTGTGCTTCGGGTTGTTGTCATGTTGGAATGCTCTGACTGAGGGAAGGAGATTGTTGCTCAAAATCTCACAATAAATGACCCCATTCATCCTCTCCTTAATACAGTGCAGTCATCCTGTCCCCTTCGCAGAAAAGCACCCCCAAAGCATGATATTACCACCCCCATGCTTCACAGTAGGGATGGTGTTCTTGGATGCAACTCATCCTTCTTTTTCCTCCAAACACGACGAATGAAGTTTAGACCAAAAAGTTCTACTTTGGTCTCATCTGACCACATGACTTTCTCCCATGCCCTCCTCTGGATCATCCAGATGAGCATTGGCAAACTTCAGACGGGCCTGGACATGTGATGACTTGAGCAGGGGAACCTTCCGTGCAATGCATGATTTGAAACCATGACGGCGTAGTGTTCTACCGACAGTGACCTTTGAAACTGTGGGTCCCAGCTCTCTTCATGTCATTGACCAGCTCCTCCCCTGTTGTTCTGGGCTGATTCCTCACCTTTCTTATCAGTGATACCCCACGAGGTAAGATCTTGCATGGAGCCCCAATCCGAGGGAGACTGACAGTTGTCTTTAGCCTCTTCCATTTTCTAACAATTGCTCCAACAGTTGATCTATTTTCACCAAGCTGCTTGGCAATTGCCCCGTAGCCCTTTCCAGCCTTGTGGAGGTCCACAGTTTTGTCTCTGGTGTCTTTTGACAGCTCTTTGGTCTTGCCCATGGTAGTAGTTGGCGTCTGACTGACTGTGGGGTGCGCAGGTGTCTTTAAAGAGCTCAGACAGGTGCTACTAAGTTAGATTAATGAGTGGAGTAGAGGTGGACTTTTTAAAGGCACAGTAACAGGTCTTTGAGAGCCAGAATTCTTGTTTCTCAGGTGTTCAAATACTTCTGTTCAGCAGTGCAAGACAAATACATTCTTTAAAAATCATACAATGTGATTTCCTGAATTTTTTTTTTAATTCTATCTCTCAGAGTGGGAATGTACCTACAATGTGAATTTCAGACCCCTCCATGATTTCTAAGTGGGAGAACTTGCAAAATCGCAGGGTGTTCAAATACTTCTGTTCCTCACTGTACATCTGAGCTTTTTAGAATTCTGCCATAACCTGATCTTTTACTCATATTTAAAAAAAAAAAACAAATGTGAAAAGCAATAGATTTCATTGTAATTTTCCTGATTAGACTAGACCTCTGTGTCTGCCTCGTGTATCCACGCACTCTGCCGCTGATATGGGTCTGTCATTTATCTTTTCAGAAAGCGGTCGGAGGCAAGAAAGATCGTTCCCTGTTCCTGTTCACGGACCTGCTGATTTGCACCACACTGAAGAGGAAATCTGGTTCTCTACGCCGAAGCTCCATGAATCTGTACGTTTGCCTAGCATTAAAGGATAAGTTCACCTTTTAGGAACATGTTACATATTACACCCATTTTCCTCTCCCCTGCAGCTGCTGTCACATTTAAAATCAGCATGGCTGTGCAGGGCTTCTCCCACACTGCCACGTCATTCATTCACAGGAAGCTGTGAATGAATAAAGTCCTGTCTGCCACCGCAGCAGACAGATTGTAGTTCTCAATGGTTTACGACTGTGCTGATCAGTGCATGTGTAGTTCGTCACTTCCTCCAGCTTTCTAAGGTCCTGTTCACACCAGTGCATTTTACATTCGCTTTAGATGTGGTGTATTAAAAAAAGAAATCCTGCTTGCTGCATCTTTGATCATCTTTCATCAAAGCACACAATAGATAAAGTTCAGTGATAACGCACTAAAAGGGAATGTAAAACGCACCGCAGCACAGATGTGAACCAAGCCTAACTGATAGCATGTATGGAGGTATGGGCAGAAAACTGGAGGACATGTCTGCAGGATCCTGACATTGTACTCACAATCCACTGTTTGCAGGTACAATGCTTTGCAGACTACTGTGGGGAAATATAATAAATGCACCTTTTTTCCTGCAAAAATATGTGCATTTGTTATCTTTTCCAAAAAAGTTAAACTTAGCCTTTAAATGGTCTAGTACAGTGGTCGGCAAGCCGCGGCTCGCGAGCCACATGCGGCTCTTTACACGCTTTAATGCGGCTCTTGTGTGCCGGGCGCCCGCTCCCCTCCCTCCTCTCGAGCGGCAGGGACTCTGCAGCGTGATCCAAAAAAAAACAGCCAGGGCGGCGCGCTCAAATGCAATGATTGGCCAGTCTCGCTGCCACTCACATCCTGATAGCCAGTGATTGGCTGTCCGGGTGTGTGTAGGCGGGGCAGCGTGACTTGGCTTAATTACTTGCTACTTACTTACTGCTACTATATGAGGGAGATGAATTAATATGGGGGATGAATTACTATATGGGGGATGATGGGGGAATTACTATATGGGGGATGAATTACTATATGGGGGATGAATTACTATTGGGGGGATGAATTACTATAGGGGAGATGAATTACTATAGGGGGGATGAATTACTATGGGGGATGAATTACTATATGGGGGATGAATTTACTATACTATTATGGGGGATGAATTACAATGGGGATGAATTATGAATTATATGGGGGATGAATTACTATATGGGGGATGAATTACTATGGGGGATGAATTACTATGGGGGATGAATTACTATATGGGGGATGAATTACTATGGGGGATGAATTACTATATGGGGGATGAATTACTATAGGGGGGATGAATTACTATTATGAATTACTATGGGGGATGAATTACTATATGGGGGATGAATTACTATAGGGGGGATGAATTACTATATGGGGGATGAATTACTATATGGGGGATGAATTACTATGGGGGATGAATTACTATAAAAACTTATTGAAACTAAAAACAGTGTACCATCCTATGTATTTTCAGTTTTAAAAATGTGGCTCTCAAAATAAATTTCAATCGTGGTTTTGGTGAGATTTGGCTCAGTTGAAAAAAAAGGTTGCCCACCACTGGTCTAGTATAAATCATTGTTAGGTGATAAACGCTCGCAAACGTTTTACTTCCATGTCCACAGTTATAAAATGTTGGGAATATTTGGGATATTTTAAGTAGGCAAGTCATTGCACTTAGTCTATTGCAAATGAGGAGCGGAAGGGATGCCAGGTACTGCTGTTGTATTTTAAAGCTGCTGTGGAGCATGATGGGGAAGTGCTGCTCTACCAACACTGAATGAGCACTTTCCGCTCCAGACACGATGACAGATCTTCAAATAGTTAAAGCCTGCACTCCACTGTAGTAGAAGACAGTGTATACTCCAGTCTCTAGTTTCCCTTTTAGCCAACCTCCATTCCCCACCAACTATCTAGCCTTTGAATGCCCATTTGGCAATCAACACTTTGGAGCATGTTCCCTGCCATGTGTCACCTGCTGTAATGTAGGGTTTAATCGGAACGACAAATGGCTAGGACACAGGTATCTCTTCTGTAAGGGGAACTAACCCACTAATTCATTGAGAGCTCGCTCCTGCACCACTTCATTGACGCTGTCGGCCAGTCCAGAATGTTGTCATTAACCTTCTGTAAGCTCCAACACAGAGCTTTCACAGGCAGGGACGGACTGACAACTCATAGGGCCCCTGGGCAATAGGGGATCATGGGGCCCCTGTGTCCTTGCCCAAACTCAAAAAAAGTCTATGAAAAAGGTACCAGGGGCATTTCATGGGGCCCCCTACTGACCCCCGGGCCCTCGGGCAGTGCCCGAGTGCTCTAATAGTCAGTCCGCCCCTGTTCACAGGGTTTGGGCTTCCAGCTCCAACTGATAAACAGGCAGGTGGGAAGATGAGTATAAACTATATGACCAGTAGTATGTAGACACCTGCACTATATGGCCAAAGTATGCAAACTGTGGTGGGCGACGTAGGCTGCCAACTTGTTAGAAGAACTAACCCTCCATTATTCCCTTTCACTTTTCCACACCACTTTGTTGGAGCTCTTGGCCAGTCCCAAACAGTTACGTGAGGAGGAAGACATTAATTCTGTGTAAGCTCCAACACAGAGCTTACACAGAGTTTGGACTTCCAGCTCCAATGGATAGACAGAGTGGTGTTGGATCTTGATGAAAGATGAGTATCAAAGTATATGGCCACAAGTGTGTGGACACCTGACCATCACACCTACACTGTATGGCCAAAAGTATGCAAACATCCTTCCAAATTATTAAGCTCATGTGTTTTTATTTTTGTCAAAAGTCAGCATTCAAAGGGTAAGTTCACTTTTTTCTCACAAAATGAAAAGGTGGGCTAACTCTAAATATCCTGGTCACCTCTCCAGACCCAGCTGCACATAGCAGCCATGCTGCCAGTGTAATGGTCTGTACACCCTAGAGTGAGTACCGATCATAACTCTTGCACTGACAAGAACTCGGTGGTTAGTGCTGACCAATGAGAAGCACATCTGAGGCTTCTTTTTCCAGTAAGGTGTCCAAGAAGAAAGCATGATTCTCATAGATTATTGCAGTCACATGGTCCCACTGATCAGTGAGCTTTTGCCATAATGAGCGTTATGATTGATACTCTCTTCAGGGCAGGTTATTGCGGAGTATGGTGCACAGGCCACTACACTAGCAGCACAAGGCATCGTGGCCAGTATGTGCAGCGGGGTCTGGAAGGGTGGCCAGGATATTTGAAGGAAGTTTACCTTTTTGTTTTTTGTGAAACTGTGAACTTACCCTTTGAGCCTTAACTCCAGGGAGTAAACAGGCTGCAGTTCAATTATTCTGCACTGCTTGGTTTATAACCTGAACAGTTGGCATGTGGTCCGCAAACATAGTAAACAACATATAAAATCCTATTCTTTCCTATGGGTTTGGTTCACATCTATAAGCTGCAGTTTAATGTGTTTTTAAAGGGGAATGACAAGGTCCCATTCACAGCTATGCTTTTTTTCGTTACAACATTTAGAAATGTAACTGGGCTCCTAAAATATATCTAAAGCTGAAATTGTTTTGGCCTCTAATGGGTTCTTATTGCTACTTGTGTCCTCATTAACACGAATCCTCTTCCTTTGAAGTTTTGTGGGAAATCATACATTTTACAGTCAAAATAAAAGGAGTTAAATGAGAAGTTCAGGAATCCCAAAAAAATAAACAATAATACTCCCCTAGATGACCGCAGTACCGATCCCAGCTGCAGTTGTCTCCTGCCGGCTCTACACCGAGAACTGGGAGTTCAAAGATCACTGATCGCTCACTTCTTAGTATTCAGTCTGCAGAAAGCCGGTGACTGTTGGTCACCAGATCTCTACTCTGCCCTTCCAACCTTCACTGGAGAGCTTGGATGCGGAGGGGTGAGAGCGACTGACTCAGTCACCCAGTGGCTCACTGAGAGGCTGAGCCAGCTGCCAGTCCAGGCACCTGTAAAGTGATGATCTTTCCCTAGCCTGGACCGGCTGAGTGACATCATCCGACAGTAGACTTGAGCTCGTTGCCGGCTGAAAGCAGGTCATAGAAGTGCATGATCCATAAGAAAAGTAGGGTTAAAATAGCTTTGGTCATACTTCTCTCCTTTAAGGAGAATGAAGACACTTGTTCTGATGGCAGTTGTCTACAAGGGATCTCCCCTCACTTTGGAGAGATTTTTTTTCACTACCTGTGGGGTCTCCTGGACAAGAAGTAAAAGAATCCACTCCTCCATGACACACAGCACAAAAAAATTAACAGGAGAATCCAACCATTCCCATACTTTAAAAGCAAACAAAGAACGTTTGGGCTTTAAATACACTTAAATGTTTTTTTTTCATATGCAGTAAATACATAGCACTGTGATTCCGTGAGCCATTGTGCCCTCCGTTGATCTGTTATGGTACTACAGCAATAACATTGTCATGTTTTTTCAGGTACACAGCAGCCAGTGTAATTGACATCTCCAGCAAGTACAAGCTTCTCTGGAAATTGCCCCCTGGAAGATGTGGATATTGTTAAAGGTTTGCCGAATGTCCCTGATACACACTGCTCTGCATGTACCAACATTCCTGCCAAAAATGACAGCTGACGCTCGGCCCATTTTTCAGCATTAACTGCTTCCACTTTTATAGTCCCTGTGGATCTGCAATTGCTGTGCAGCAAGTCCATAAGGAACTGTGACAGTGCATGCTGGGACATGTAACTGTATATTGACCATTTTGGCATTGTGGAAATGTTTATGCTACGCATGCAGGAGAGCTGAGTTTTGACTTTTAGTGGCCTCAGGGCGTAGATAAGTTGGGGAGTCCAGTCAAGGGGGTCTGGAACCCCCTCCCCCCCAGAGGAGCAGTCCCGGGACTAGGGGTTATGGGAGGCGGCGGTGGGGCAGTGACGGGCAGCGATCTCCTGTATGGCTTTCAATGAAGCAGCTGGAAGCCACAGGAGAGAGAGGAGAGAAAGAGGCTTCCAGCTGCTTCCAACTGAAAGCCGTACATAAGATTGCTTGTCACCGCCCCCACCACTGCACAGAACATACCTGAACCTGTCTTCAGTTTTTTTCTGCCCCCCCCACCGCCACTGTGTCTTTTTCACTAAACCACGACCCCCCTCCAGCCCCTCCCTCCATCAATCCTCCACACCAATAGAGAGCACAAAGGGGAGAGAGGCTGGAGCTGCTCTCCTCCCACCCTGCCCACCCATACTCCAGTCCGTGCAGCTTCAGAGGATGTGTGGGTGGGAAACTGAACCCAGCAGCCACACAGCTCTGAGCAGCTGACTGATCATTGTGAGTCAACCAAACCTTCCTTCCTTCCCCCCCTTCCTTCCCTTCCTCCTTCCTTCCACCCCTTCCATCCTTCCACACCCTCTCCCTTCCTTCCACTCTCCCTTCCTTCCTTCCTTCCACTCTCTCCCTTCCTTCCTTCCTTCACTCCTCCCTTCCTTCCTTCCACTCCTCCCTTCCTTCCTTCCTTTCCTTCCTTCCTTCCTTCCTTCCTTCCACCTCCTCCCTTCCTTCCTTCCTTCCTTTCCTTCCTTCCTTCCACACCTCCCGTCACC